TTGGGGTATTTTCACCTGTTATTAAGAAAATAAGTGGTCATATAAATTTTTTTAATTAAAAAATATTAAGGAAATTTTTATAATTTTAATTAATTAAATCTTTTAAATTAATTATTGATTATTTTTTAAAATATTTTAATATTATCACTTTAATTATACATTATTTTTATTTTGAATTAATGTAATTATCAATTTGCATTTTTAGAAATTTATTTGATATTTTCTAAGTTTTAAAAATTAATATAAAAACACTTTTCAAATTTAGATATTAAAAATGTATTTACCGATAACTGGGTGTCTTTTTGAAAATCGAAAACTTGTCTTCTACTTTTTTTCTCCTTTCTTTAACAAGCTTAGAGATCTTTCAAGCAAGACGAGGTACTTGCATTAACATTAAGACACTTTTGTATAATAACATAACAGATAAGTATAAAAATGTTATATAACTCATATTTTATTTTTTATTCGGTTATATATAGTAAAAATTAATGACTTATTCAAATGAAAAATATAAGAGAGACAAACTCATAATGTGATATTGATGCAATATAAAATATTAAAAGAAAAAAAAAGGTAAAAGTGAATTAGAAAGTTTTGTTTGGATAAAGGGAGAAGTAAAAAGGAAAGAAGTATAAAAAAAAAAATAAGAAGAAGAAGGAAGAATGAGTAAAAAATTCATACACAGTTTTTAGTTGTGTTTGAATAGTAAGAAGGAAAATGATAATGTTAAAATTATAATTTTAAGCAAGTCTAACATTTTTTTTATCTCTGTTTTTTTATTCTTTTTATATAAGTCAAAATAATTTTTTTAATGAGTATTTTTATAAATTATTATTTAACAAATGTTTTTCGTCATTTTTCTTAAACAAAAATATTTTTAAGATTTTTTTAAAACATTTAACCTCTTTTAATTTATCATTTTGTTATTCTCTAAATTAAAATTTAATATTATTTTAAAATTTATCAAAATTTAAAAATAGTCGTGTATTGTAATATATATTATTTATTAGATTTGTGATAAAAAAATTTCCTTTCTTAAAAATTTATTTATAATATGATTTATATATTAAAAATATTTGCTTATTATAAATTTTAATTACATAAAATAAAAGTATGGTATGTCTTACAAAAACTAAAATACTAGTTTTATTTTTCTCAATATGAGAAGATATTTTTTTAAGGTGAGATCCACACTATATTTCTCTCTTCTCCACTTCTCTTATTAAATAAATAACATACAATTATATTTATCTTCTACTTAACCCTTCTCATTCTCACTTTTAAACTTTTATTCAAACAAATAAAACTAGATGTATGAGTGTATTATAAGTATGCAAAAGTTATCTTATCTAATTCTTTCATTATTATTATTATTATTAACTAGGAAAAAAAGTACTTTGTATCTCTAATTCTATTCAAATAAATATTAACATGAAAATAGAGATAAGTTGCTCTCCATGCTAAGATTAATAATCATTTAAATTTTGATTTTAATACGCTTTTCACGTCAAAGTTAATAGTGATTTAATTTCTTATGTTAAGACTTTCTCTGCACCAAAATTAATAGTCGTTTATAGTTCAACCTTAAGACGTTCTTCACACTAATGTTAACAGTCATTTAATTTTTGACCTTAAGACACTCTTTATGCCAAGGTTAATAGTCTTTTAATTTTAGACTTTAAGATGTTCTTCCCACCAAGGTTAATATTCGTTTAAATTTTGAACTTAATAAGACACTCTTCATGCCAAGGTTATATAAGACATTCTTCACGACAAGGTTAATGGTCATTTAAATTTTGACTTTAAGATACTATTCACACCAAGGTTACTTTAAGACATTTTTCACACTAAGGATAATACGCATGTAAATTTCTACCTTAAGATGTTTTTCACACTAAGGTTAATGCTTGTGTAAATTCCTACCTTAAACTGATTTTCACGTCAATGTTAATAATCGTTTAATTTTCAACCTTAAGACGCTCATTATGCCAATATTTTTTTATAGTCAGTGACCTTAAGTCAGTTTTCACACAAAGAATTTTTCTTTTAGTCGCCAACCTTGAAACGTTCTTCACGCTAATGATTTTTCTTTTAGTCACTAACCTTAAGATGTTTTTCATGTCAATGATTTTTTTTCTAGTTATCAGCCTTAAGACACTCTTTACGCCAATAAATTTTATTTTAGTCGCCAACCTTAAGACACCTTTCATGCTAAGGAATTTTCTTCTAGTTGCCAGCCTTGAGATGCTCTTCACATCAAGGATTTTTCTTCAAGTTGCCAATCTTAATAACCCCTTCACGCCAAAGATTTTTCTTCTTGTTGCCAACTTTAAGATGCTCTTCATGGTAAGGATTTTTCTTTTAGTCGTTGACCTTATGATGTTCTTCACATCGATGATTTTTCTTTTTGTCATCAACCTTAAGACGCTATTCATACCAAAAAAATTTCTTTTAGTCATCAACCTTGAGATACTCTTCATGTCAAGGATTTTTTTTTATCATTGACCTTAAAACACTATTCATGTCAAAAAAATTCTTCTTATTGTCAACCTTAAGTCGCTTTTCACACCAAAGTTTTTCTTCTAGTCACTCACCTTAAGATACTTTTCATGCCAAGAATTTTTCTTCTTATAGTCGATCTTAAAATACTATTCACATTAAAGATTTTTTTTTCTTTTTTCCAACCTTAAAAAGTTCTTCACATTAAGGTTTTTTTTTCTTGTTGTCGACCTTAAAACACTCTTCATGTCAATGATTCTTCTTCTAATCACTTACCTTAAGATTTTTTTCACACCAAGAGTGTAAACAGGAAGTTGCTGAAAATACATCTTTATTCATGAAAGACATATTGGATACAAAGGCACTTTATTGAAAAATAGGCAACATTGTGAACAAAGATAAAGACCGATTTATAGTCAAGTATATACATTATTAAAGGAAGTGAAATAAAGTGGTCATATTTCAATTATAATAAAAACGTAAATTCGATGCATTTCACATTTGGGGTATTTTCACCTCTATCCAAAGTTTGCAGCTTGTATGTCCCATTGTTGACTACTCTCACAATCTTTCTGTATGGACCGACCTATTTTGAGGATAACTTATTCGATAGTTGATGCATATGGGCTTTCTCTAATAACAAGTCTCCTTCCTAAAAGGTCTTTGGTAAGACCTTTGAGTTGTATTTCTTCTCTACATGTGCATTTACTATCGCTTCTTTGTTGTCTCATCATAAGGTCTCCATCATGGCTTTGATCTCCTAGACAATAGGATTGTTGTCTATGACTTCAAGATCCTCTCTTCGCAACCTCTTTGCCTCCTCTACTCTCCTCTATGCTTCCTCATTATACCCTTATTTAAGATCAATTCTGACATTCCATAGGCCTTGAGTGAAATAATAAATTTGGGTCTTTATAT